GCTTCCCTGCAAACCAAACTTACAGGAAGACTATTCCGTTAGCAAGAATGCAACATTAAGTCTGAATCGGAACTAGGTATCCCTAGCATACCATTGCCCTTTACCCAAGTATACAGCCATTGACAACTATGATGTACGCTTCACATTACAGGTGGGGCGTTCCCCCAACATGGTGATAGTGTTTGACTGCTCCACAGAGACCATGATTCAGCGGCTGCTCATCCGAAGTCAGATGGGCGAGAGGGTGGATGACCACGAGCGCATCATCCGGCAGCGGCTGGAGACTTACCACACACAGTGTGAGCCTGTCTTCGCCCACTACCTCCAGAAGGGCTTACTCCGGAATGTAGGTCCTTGCAAAGCTAGCTGGGCCCCCATTTCATCTGCCCCTGCTGACTCTAGGCAGGGAAGGCCTGCCTACTTTGCAACAAGGCAACCAAGCTCAGATTTGATTCTGGTCTGGACTACAATCCAGTCAGTATCTTCACATGTAAGGGCCATGCTAGCTCTATATACGGAGCCACCTGTGACACTGTTGTGCCCACAGAAAAATGGCTCAGGCAGGTAGTCAAGCTGGAAGTTGGGCTGCTGGGCAGGGGGTTTGGAAAGACCAAATGACACTGAAGGGTAGCTGTGTGTATGCCTTCTGGTTGTTTGTTGACTTATGGTGACCCCTTGAATTTCATAGGGTTTTTCCTAGACAAGGAATCCTCAGAGGTGGTTTTGCCAGTTCCTTCCTCTGAAATATAACTTATAGCACCTGGTATTCTTTTGTGTTCTCCCATCCAAGTACTAACCAGGTCTTGCCCTCCTTAGCTTCCCAGATCAAACAAAAAGTGCTAGGAAGCACACAACTGCAATGTAAACCAATAAAGACTGAAACCATGTAGTAATATAAATTGGTCTATTGCACGTAGATTAGTGACACAAGTTGGATGTAAACTGAGAATTACAAAAATATATGCAATATCAACATAAAATGAATGACTGCAATGAATTAAAAAGCAATAGTTGAATATGCAGCATAGAATGTGCATGATGACAATGATATAAGATTAGTGATAGAAACAAAAAATAAAATACAAACTTGGCAGTAGACAGACAGTAGTTACAAAACTGGAAGAAGTTGGCAGGACAGGAGTTCTAGATGCATTCTTGTTTAAAAAATATTCTTCACTTAAGCCAGGCCTTGCTGGTAAACTGTCTATATAGCTTTCATACTAACATAAAATTATCAATTCATTTGACAAAAAGAATTTTTTAAAAAATTTCAATAGAGAAGAATATAGATAGGATGATTAACTTTATGTTTTTACTAAGCCTACAGTCATTCACTTGCATTTCTCTTCCTTTCATTCTGTCTATTTATATAAAAATTTACCTTTTGGACAATTCCTTTGACTTGGAAGGAATTCTTCACATGATCTTGATGTTGTTACTCAAAAAAGTAAATTCAGACATTAATGGGCTGAGGTAATTTCACTGAGACTGTTAGAATTGCTGGAAATAAAGCAGGTGTGATACTGAGGCCATGGCTTTTGGAAGAGATAAAAGATAAACTTTCTGGTAGACTTTTATGGGTTACAGCCATTCTAGATTTTGATTGGAAACAATTGTGTTTAAAAGGATAGTGAAACTTCTGTCCACAAATATCTAAAAGCAGTGTATAAAATTAATAGATTGGTGGTATTTAATTCCTGTGAAACTATTTTCTAAAGGCTCAAATGGGTGTTGTTGACAAGTTGGAAAGTTGCTACCATATGGGTGGTCATGCCCACAAGTAATTCATTTCTGGAATTTGGTATTTGCAGAAATGACTAAAATTACACCAGTTTTTTTATCAACAGAATTGGAACTAGTATCTCTTTTCTATCTTGAAAATGAGTCTCTTCCTGACAGCATGTTTTAAGAAATTGCACAAAATTGGAAAGGCTTAAATGCCCTGCCACTTTCTCAGTATTAGATAGTCTGGAATATTACATTGATATTAACTGAAAACTGAAAAAGTAAAGGCTAATAAATATCCAGGACCACTCTAGGTTCCATGAGATTCAGTACAAGTTTATTAGTTATGCAGATGAAAATGCCAGCCTTGTTGCTCATTATTGTTGTCATAAGTCATTTTTGACTTATGGCAAACCTAAGGACAAGGGGTTTTCTTGGCAATTTTCTTCAGTGTTTGTCATTGCCATCCTCTGAGGCTGAAAGAGTGTGACTTGCTGATGGCCACCTAATGGGTTTCCATTGTTGAGGGGGGATTTGAACCCTGATCTCAAGAGTTATGTCAGCTGGAGATTTATTTGCATAATCGGGAAACATCAGCTATATATACCTCATTGTACTGTATCTGAGATGCATTGTTTGTTGGTTATGTTTGTTTCAGTAAAATCTTTTTTTAAAAACGTTTTTAAAAATCTGCTATTATAAAAATTGTTTATTTTAAACTCATATTTAGTTAGAGACATTTTGGATTGCCATGTTAAATGGACAAAAAACACATTGAGATTACCTGGTCCATCTGGACATTGACTCACCTAGTACAATGATTGGCAGATTCAGGGTCATTATAAACGTAGTGAGTGTTTTATTTTTCAAGTGAAAGTCTATGAATATAGCAATAGCAATAGCAAGTATATTTCTATACCGCTTATCAGTGCACTTAAGCACTTCCTAAGCAGTTTACAATATGTAAGCTAATTGCCCCCAACAATCTGGGTATTCATTTTAGCAATCTTGGAAGGATGCAAGCCTGAGTTGAGCCTGAGCCCTTGGCTGGTATTGAACTCGCAACCTTATGTTTTGCGAGTGAGTGCCTGCAGTACAGGCATTTAACCACTGCACCACCAGGGCTCTACAGCAGTTTTGTGCTACAGCATTTTTCCAACCAACCAAGCCAGACATATACAGTCGCCCCTCCGTTTTTGTGGACTTCAAGTCCGCATCTCTCACCTGTTTGCGGGCAGCAAATGGAGGGGGACAAAATGGAGTGTGTGCCTGTGGGTGCCTGTGGCCATTCAAGCCTATGTATGGAGTTTGAATATTTGTGGTTTTCTGTTTTTGTGGGGGGATGGGTCCGAAATGGATTCCCCACGAAAATGGAGGGGCAACTGTATTATTGTTTTTCCTTATGACATGTTATATGGAAGAAAAAAATCATAGTGTATCCAAATGTATATTTTGGAACATTGCTCTAAAATTAGAAATGAAATTGGGGCTGCACCCATGATTATTTTGTTGACCATTCTGTGACTGTAATGATTTCAAATTATTAGTGATATTATTCACTCCCTCCAGTGCAGTTTGACAATAATGCAGTACTCCTTATGAAGAAAACTGAATGGATCTTCAGATTAGGCACTGTTACCCCTAAAAGTTTAAATGTTTCCTTAGATTTAGCCTGCTTCTTGGGAGCTCTGGGCACTGCAATTCCAATTAATTCTGTATTCCCTTTGTCTGAACCCATTCCACCTTTTGTATATTGCCCTTGGGAGAAAGCTGCTTGCATTTCAAAACATCTAAAATGACATATTTCTTTCAGAGGACAATCACAACATTAGAAACAATGGGAATTCAGCCTTTTCAGTTAGTATGTTTCCATTTCCATTTCATCTTTGTGGGAATGCACTCAAAATATTATGTCTTATTTGTTTGCTCTCAAAAACACTGAGGAAAACATCATGCCTCCCTTCACACTGGGCATATTTAACATTTATAAGGCACTTGGTGAGTTTCTTGCCATTTACAGGTTATCTTATATGGCAACACAATTTTCATTTTGTTTGATTTGAGTATATGTATCTTGTCAATTTATCAAGAAGCTTGTTTAATTGAAATGATTTTGAAATAGAAATCCCATTCTTCCAGTCTAGTTCATTTTGTAATTAACACTTACCAACTGCCAACTTTGTATTTAATTTTTGGTGGTTTCTATCATTGTTAATTTTATGTTATTGTTAGCAGCTGGAATCCCATATGGCAGTTACAAATGCATAACCTAGACTGGATTTACAGTCCTAATGGGGCTACAGAGTGGCCATGAAAGTCCTACAATTCCCACTTTCCAGGCAGCAGCCACTGTGATCAATGGGGATAGTGAGCAATCTTTGACACAAGGGAGAACTGTAACCTGATTCTACCTGTTGCACTGAAAATCACTCACATGATGGGATGGAGAAGGCAGTCAGTTGGCTGATTCCTGGCAAATTGGGATTGCTGTGGGCCAGGCCAGGAGTCACTGTGTAGCTATGAAATCCCAATGTAAATCCCATGCAGGATTCCAGGCATCATTCCCATGGTATGTCATTATTAAATTACCATATATACTCGATTTTAAATCGACCTCATATATAAATTGAGGACAGGTTTTGGGGCCAAAGTTATGGATTTTTATATAACCTGTGTATAAGTTGAGGATAAAACTGAAGGGGATTCTAACAAAGGATGCAAAGGATGAAGGAAAGGAAAATGCCAAAGCACACTATTTTCCCACCCAGACATTCAGAAAGTCCAGATGTAGCACTACAGTGGAAAAAAGAGAGGGGTGGTACTTCTTTTAGGTACTCCTGGGATGGACTAAGCTCTTGCCTTTTGTCACTCTACTCAGAGAAGGGGATGGCTCCTTTTTTAATAAGAGGTAAGGTACCTAAGTTGGCCCAGGTTTTTGGGGTCAATTTTTTAAATAAAATTTCTAGACTTATACATGAGTATATTATACAGTAGGTGTTTTTCAATTCATAGTGGCTATTCCTTTTCTGTTAGTGGTCATCAATTCAATATTAATATATCTATTGCACTGGTCTTTGTAGTTCTGAATTTATATCAAATTGTGTTACCCTTGTTTAACCCACACACAATATTTTATATTACCACCTTATTTACATTTTATTTATTGATATACATGGCAGGTGTTATGGAAGGATCCTATACAGCCCAAGGATGCTGAAGAAATGTGGGAAGAGATGACAGGGTTATTTAATGGCTATGGCTAATCTTGAGTGAGAGCCAGTGTGATGTAGTGGTTTGAGCGTTGGACTATGACTCTGCAGACCTAGGTTGAAATCCTGGCTCAGCCATGTAAACTCACTGGGTGACATGGGACAAGTCACACTCTTTCAGCGTCAGTGGATGGCAATGGCAAACCTTCTGTGATGAAACTTGCCAAGAAAGCCCTATGATAGGGTTGCCTTAGGTTCGCCATAAACCAGAAACAACTTGAAGGCACAAAACAACAATAATGGTTAATTTCATTATAATAATTTGGATGCAAGCTTAGTCCTGCTCATAGTAGATCCATTTTTTTCTTTCAAAACATTTTTTCAAACCACCCTTCATCCTATCAATAGTATAGGTGTACAAACAGAGTATTAAAATTAATGGAGTTTAAGTTAGCCATATTTAATATATGCAGTTGATTTCAACAAGTCAATTGTAATTATGACTGACAGAAAGCCAGTGTTGCTTAGAGTTTCGGGTGTTGGATTAGGACTTGGGAGACCAGAGTTAAAATCCCTGGCCAGCCATGAAGGCAAAGGGCTTAATAAATCTTGCTAAGAAAACCACATGATAGGTTCATAGATTTGCCATAATTCAGAAAGGGCTTGAAGGTAAACAACAACAACTATGATTGAGTCCAGATCTAATTCAATAAGTATTTCTTCTTCTTCAAGAGATAATATTTGTTGTATCGGTTATGTGCTTCCTAGTGATGTATGGTGATCCTCTCAGAAAAAACTACATGGGAGTGCCACTATATCTGATAGTAAATCTGTACAGTTGAGCTGTGGATGGCCCCACCTCATTCATCCCAATGGTAGCATGTGCAATGTGTTGTCACTGAAACCAGTGGGACTCGAGGCCCTGTAGTTTTTAGCATCTGTGGAAGGATTTGGAACAGAACCCCCGCAGATACAAAAGGCCAACTGTGCTCAGGACAAGAGGCTATGGTTAGGACAAAATATGAAGAAATAGAATGGTTCCCAGTTGGCAAAGCGGTCAGATAAGGCTGCATCTTATCACCCAATTTGTTCAACTTGTATGCAGAAAACATTATATAAAGAGCAGGCGTGGATGACACCATACTACTAGTGGGAAATATCACAGATTTGGAACAATTACAGGTTCCGGTATCTTGGATCAAACCTTGATCAGAAAAAAGACTGCAGTCAAGAAATAAGAAGACTAGGAGTGGGAAGAGCAGCTACGAAAGAAGTAGTTAAGATTGTAAAGAGTAAAGATATCCAATAGAACACTCAAGTTAGAATCATCCAAACCATTGTATTCTCCATCACCATGAACGGATGCGAGAGCTGGACAGTAAAGGAAGTAGATAGGAAGAAAATCAATTCAGTTGAGATGTGGTGCTGAAGAAGAGTGTATGGATACTGTGGACAGCCAAAAAGGCCAACAAATGGGTCCTTGAACAGAGCCTGAAATTTTCATGGAAGCTAAGATGATCAAACTGAGGCTGTTGTACTTTGGCCACATCATGAGAAGGCACGATTCACTAGAAAAGACAATAATGCTAGGAAATGTGGAGGGAAATAGAAAGAGAGGAAGACTGCAAACTAGAGGAATACAATTAGGGAGGTCATGGGTATGCATTTATAGGACCTAAGCAGAGCAATGGTTTACAGGGGGAGGGGACTGGAGATGTCTCACCCACAGGGCTGCCATGAGTTGAGGTCAATTCAAGGATAGTTATCATGAGACCCAGGTGTTTTTATGGCTGAACATGGATACAAACTCTGGTTTCCCACAGTTCTAGTCCAACACGTAAGACATTGGCCCACTCTAAATACCCTTGCATCTTGAAATGCAAACTAAAGGATTGTCACTACAAAGAAAGGACTGGTTACAATACCTGACAGTTATAGTGCTTCTCAGTGCCCAGTTCTTCACAGTAGTTTCCTGCTTACAGGCCTTTGTAAAATCCGTGCTTTACACTCTGCTATATTTTCTAAAATATATACCTTAGACAAATCAATCTCAAACTTAGAGGAAGGCAACCTCCCCACCAACAGATATTGCTGAAAAAACCCTGGTAGGGTCACCTTAAGTCTGAAATATCTTGAAGTCACAGGACACCACAACAACTCTTCTTTTCATTGAACAGGTAGGGTACTGTGGCCCTCCAGATTTTTTTTAAAACTAAAATGCCCCACACCAGTTGGCTTTGGTTATGCTGATGGGAGATGTTGGCCAAAACAAGATGGCGGAACTCTTAGAGAGTCTCACAAAAATGCTTCTTTGTCTAACTGTATCTTTTCCACCCTAAAAGAAAGGACACCCGGCTTACAATTATTCTGTTTTCCATTGCTTTTAGAGCCAAGTGTTGTTCTTAATGTGAAATCCTATGGGAAAAGCCATGTTAACCTTGGTCATTCAGTGGAGCCTATTTCACTGGACCCTGCTATTTTTATCTCTTTCAGTGAAACCAGTCTGTAACCTCTACTAATACCACAGTTGTATTTCTACCATTGACAAATACAGGGTTGGGGGAAAGAACGGCATGTTCTGCTACAGTTGACCCTCTGGGGCCACAGACTCCATCAACTACGGCTCAAAAATATTTTTAAAAATCAAAAAAGCAAATATTTGCTCACCATTTTATATAAGGGATGCCCTTTTACTACAGCACTGAGTATAATGGGTCTTGAATATCCACAGAGCTTGGTATCTACAGGGAGTCCTGGAACCAAGCTCCAGTGGATACTAAGGACCCATTATCCATTGTTAAATCTATTAACAACTTAGTATTGTTAACGTATGAAGGAAAAGGATTTCACATGATCCTTGTATTTTGATGTTTCTGAAGCCTGTGTTGAAAATATCAGCCTTTAAGTTAGGGTTGGGAATAATGTGGCCCTCCAGATGTTGGACTGCAACTTCTCTAACATCTGGAAGGCCACATAGTCCTGGCTTCTGCTTGCAACCAATCATCTTATTACCCTCCTCACACCTGATGTCATACCCCAAGAAAACAGTATTGGAGATAAAGTCTTCCTCATTACAAGTAATATGTTTCTTCCCTTAAGCAGAATTTGCAACTTACTCTAAAAAGGGGGCTATAAATCCAAAGAACCTTCCTGAAGGGAACTCATAATATAGGCTGCTACAACAAAGCCTGTGTGTACAATTGTTTCTTTACCTCTTTTTAATACTTGGCCCTGAAGGGCTCTCATAAAATCCTACTGACAATAGCTTTAAGGCAGATACATATGCATATGCCCTTCATATAGGCTATATATAATGGCGCTCCCTATCAAAAGATGTAGGGAGTGCCATAAATGGATTTTTAAAAGGAATGAGCAATAGTGTTTTTGAAAATCCATATTCAAAGGCAGTGTATCTTTGGATGCCAGTTGCTGAGGGGAGGAAAAAACTAACAACAGGTATGGATTGCTGCCTTACTTATATTCTTTCCAAAAGTATAGGACACAAGGGCCTAAATCCTGTTGTTACTCCTGACTACTTGCAACTAATGAACAGGATTCTGACTATGCATAGCTGCTTGTTGAGTGTTGTGCCTGTTAAAACTGAATGAACTCAGGCAATGCTCAGGCTTCCTCTGCAGGAGATCTATTGAGATGAGGCCAAAGGCAGCAACCTAAAGGAGATGCAGTAGTCCCAGATGAACTGTCTAAGATCCCTTCATTGTGTTTTTGTGATTACAGATCATTGGGGAAGAGCCTCCAGAAATTGTCTTTCACAAATGCTGCAGTGTGGTGGATGATGTGATAAAGGGAGCAACCTCAACAACATAATTATTTAGTTCTACGTCAAAATAAAGGTTTTAAGTTGCTGGCCTATTACAATGCTCTCCTTAGGAAAAAAAATCTCAGCTATGGTTTTCACATGCAGCTGCCTCTGCAAACTGACATCTTTGTAAAGCTGTGTTTTGAGTGTCTTGCTCATTCACATGTGCAGGTCATGCTACTCAGTACCACTATCATCAAACAGTACACATGCATATATTATGTAGTCCTGCAAAGTCTAATGCAGGCCAAAAGATACTACTGCTTTGTGCCTGATCCATACAGCAGTCCTGAGTGTAAAAGGTTCCCAGCCCACCAGCATTCTTCATTAGAATGTTATGTGTGATCTGTATCAAACCTCTACCTTGTTTCTTTAGTAATCTGTTAAATGCTTTGTCTCTCTCCCTTTGACCTCTTATGCAATTGGCATACTCCAGTCCTTCTTTCATCTCTGAAAAAAGAGCTTTGCATTTGAAAATGGCCATCTTGCCCTGTCCCAGCAATCCTTCCAGGACTTTTCACTGAGCTAGAGAAGCAATCCTAGAAGATGCCTAAGGAGTAGTACAACCTGCACTGGGGCACACACTATGAATAAAGTAGGCTGTATAAAGAAGGAACTCCCTTTAGGGTTGGGAAAGAACCAAGGTACTTCTGAGAATCTTTCCAGAACTTGCAGAACCTAAGATAACTGTTACCTGGACCATCATGATCATGCCACAGAAATAGAAAGATCAGGTGTTGGCAGTAGTAGGTTAGGTTAGGACAGCTGCTACATTCATCCAGAGACCTCATCTCTGTAAACTGATCATCCCCCTGTAAATTAACACCGAAGACAGATGCAGCTCCAAAACTATAAAGCTGGATCTGAAAGAGGCCCCACACCTGCTATCCCACCATCCCACTAACAAGTAGCTCACCCTTGCTCAGCATCTACAAAGAGTATGAATCTGCTTCTCTTCTGAGCCTTTGGGTGAAGCGAGAGCAGCTCCTGGGGACCCTGCCTTTGGAAACACACACAGTTGCATCAGAGACTTTAAAACAAAAAAGCATTTTATTCAACAAAAATGCACAAATGCCTGCTCAAACTATAAAAAACACAGGAAGCTCTTAATTCATGACCATTATCAGGCTTTTACAACAGCTATATTGTGAACAAACATCAGCTTCAAAAAACCCTATGGACAGAAAGAGAAAGACAGACACCACCCAGCAGACACAGGGGGATGTTTTGTTATCATTTATTTGTGAAGTTAAAAACGAGCGGTAAAAAGTAAAAATTGAGCATACAATTGTTTGTTTCAGTTTCCTCTTGAACAGAC